TCCCTGCCTTAAATGATAGAAGCCACATCAATTGTCAAGCAATTCTAATTGTCTTTTGAAGGAAAAATGGGTTTATCATCTGGGGTTTATAAATCTCCATATATCACTTCACCAGTATACTGTCCTTCCAAGCTGAAAAATTCTAGATAACAAATGAACTGTAATTTGCAATTCAGTAATAACAAACAGGCCCTTGAAGTCTCTTAAAATTATTTAATTCTGCAAAGCCAAAGATGCATTTTTAAAAAGTAGTGTAAAGTAATACATAGAACTGGCATATATTCACTCTTCACAGTTAGGTTTGAGAAATCAGCCCTAGTTGCCCCTCTGTAAATGGGAGATCCATTCCAGACACACACACACCCCAAAAATGGAAAATCGCAGCCATTCAAGTCCCATTGGCTTGAATGGCTGCGCGCTCCTGTGTGCGCCATTATCCCCAATGGGGCTTGCCAGTCTGCAAAGGACCAAGGCTGCAGACTCGAAGTCCACGAAAATGGGAAACTGTATTTTAATTGGGATTACTCCCCAATAAGTATACACAGGATTAACTCAACTACAGTCAAGTTCTTTTTTCCTTTTTTAATTCATGGAACATGCTGGCTTAGATCCTGACTTTGCATGAACCCAACTCATTTAATGGAAAAGTCCTGCCAGAAGTAGGCAGAGAAGGTGATATATTTCCCCCATTTTATACAACTTTTATACTCTTTTAACATTTTTCAAAAGTAACTAAAATACTTACTTTTTATTTAGTCTCCTCCCATCTAAATACATCAAGCCACTCACTTGTGATATAAATTCTAAATTCCTCCTATTCCCCTTAAATACCTGAACACTCACATCTAAGGCAGCAACATGAAGTACAGCATAAGCTGAGTTTTGAACCATTTGATATTCCTCCTCCCATCATTTTGTGAACCCACCTCCCAGGAACTATAAAATCAATTAAAAAGTCACGCAACAAAAGGAGTAAAGTTATGTCACACTACATTACAATACAATAAAATGAAGCTATACCAAAGGTTGTTGTAGTTGTTGAGTGCCTTCAAATCGTGTTCTTGTGGCAATCCTAAGGGAACCATATCATGAGTATTTGGGGGCTGAGAGTGTGTGACTTGTCCAAGGTTACCTAGTGGGTTTCCATGGCTGAGCAGGGAATCGAACCCTGCTATCTTGAGATGTAGTCCAATGCTCAAACCACTATGCCACACTGACTCTTTGTACCAAAGATATGGAAGGAAAATGAATAAATTATAAATAACAACCTATTTTGTAATAAGTGTCTTATAAACACCAAGGCTACATCTGCACTGCAGAAATAATGTAGTTTGCCATTGCTTTAACTGCTAAGGCTCAATGCAAAGGGATTCTGGGATTTGTATTTTTGTGAGATATTTAGCCTTCTTTGTCAGAGAGCTCTGGTGCCACAACAAACTACACATCCCTGGATTCCACAGCACTGAGTGCAGATGCAGATGCAAGTGATTTACATAAGAGCAGTGCCAAACCAATCAAAACGCAAATTATTTTGCCTCAAGTGTGAATTTTTTCTCTATAGCTATAACTGGATTGCCAGCTTCTGCCATTACAGCTTCTTGATCACTTCAATCAACTATTTGGATTGGCCTTCTTACTGTAACATGCTGCCTTGGGTTACCAACACCAGGGTACTAACCTTATCCATTACTGGGCTAGAGTGGACTACATAAGGAAGATAAAGGACCATAGGGAATACAATGCTTGGCCCCATTCAAGGTACTTTAATGCTCATGGCTGGTCACTTCATTTTGCTCTGCTTTAACTCTGTGGTATATGAACTCTGTGGTCCCATACATTCTTAAATTATAATATAAAATGAACCTCCCATTCAATCGAGAGCATGAATATTAAAAGTAACTTGCATTTTTATTACTCTCAATGCTTTAAACAGCAAGTCTTTATTACACCTATGCTAGTGTAATTGCTTCACTCTCTGACACCTCAGCACAAGAGTGATTTACGAAGCTTTTCCCCCCTCTTCAGCTTTGCACATCAAAGTGTAAATTAAACACTGTTAAGTCTCCCCTGCTCTCCCAGAGATCAGGGACTTTTGGGAAGCATTTCAAAGTAGGGAATGCCACCAGCACAAAAGTAGGGAAGGCCACTACAACCAAGAAACACAAGCTATACACTTACTGTGTTCACAGTAGGGCTTGACCCGCCTGGAAAAAATCGCCACACAAAGGAACATTTCCTAGCCTATAACAAAGTTCCCTCTTGTGTTCCTGCATGGCAGGGAGTTGGACTGGATAGCCTCTGTGGTCCCTTCCAACTCTCTGATTCTATAGAGATTATCAGACAGGGGAAATCGCGGGGGAGAGGCATACTTCCAGCAAAGTGGCGCAAAGATTTTCAGATGATGTCGCACTTATCCAGGACATAACCCATGAAGAACCAGCAATGCTCCAGCTACAAAGCGTTCACAGGGAAGTCTTGTGAATGCTTAGTTGCTGGAGCATTGCTGGTTCTGCATGGGTTAAGTCTTGGATAAGCGCAATGTGTCTGAAAATCTTCAGCACAATTGCACT